AAGTAAAGGTACATAAAGACAATCTTTTAATGTAACAATTCATTCTCTAAAAATTAAATCTATTGTTCCTATAACAGTAACTGCAACAGTTGCAGTCGTCCCTAAGTAAAGCACAACAACATTATCATCATCATTCAGCATTCTACTTTCCTTGAACCCCTGCAATGTGTTACATGTATGAGTGTAAGCTCAAGAGTTAATACACTAGGATGCAAAAATGACCAACATATTGGTTTTTATGACAAGAGATTCAAAATTACCTTCTTTGTTCTTGCGGGATTCCAGATACTGAGAACAATTCCTCCTCCAGTGCCCAGTCTGTTTATAGAAGTGACATTCATCAGATGACTTGTCTCTCTTCTGCTTCTTCAGTTTGCCTCCCTTTTTCTGAGGCTTATTTTTACCCTTCCTTTTCTTTCTGTCGGATTTGCCACCTTCAACAAGCATGGCTACTGACTTACCTTCTTAATCAATTGTTCAGCTCTTTGCAACATATTGTTGAGCTCTTGTAGGCTAACTTTTAGCTTATTCATGTTGTAGTTCATGACAAATTGATTAAAGGACGAGGGTATAGAGTTTAGGACAACATCAATCTTGGTGTCACCGTCAAGTTAGGAGCCAAGAGCCTCCAATTCATTTATATAACCTATCATCCGTATGACATGGTCATGAACTGGTTGGCTCTCGGTCATCCTCGTGGTCATCAATAGTTTGAGTACCTTTTGTCTTGCAAAACGATTTTGCTCCTCATACATGGTTTTAAGACTATCTAGGATATCTTTGAAGGTATCAATTTTGTCAAACTGTCTCTAGATAGAATTATCCAAGGAGGCTATGACATAACACCAGGCAAGAGAATTTTTCTCTTCCCACTCCTAATATTCCCTCCTTCTTGCCTCAGAAGCCCCATCACCCGGATGTTCTGGTGTTGGGTTTTTGGCAACCTTGTCCAATTTCTCGGACATGAGCACTAGGTTTAGGTTACAAAACTAGTCTACATAGTTGGGTCTTTTCAATTTGTTGTCGTCTAACAATTTAGCAAACTATCTGTGTGTCATTTCTAATAAAAGGCATGATTAATTAGTCCACGACCTTAATATTGTTTCATGTTATCTTTCATAGAATGGATTTTTATCTATGTTTTATCTCCATTTGTTCATCCCTGAGGTTTCCCTCCTATCTTAGTGAGAAAAACATAGTTCATGTCCTTGGAAATGTATCTATATCTGTACATCAGTCTGATTGGAGCTAAGGGCATACACTGTCTAACAAGGGGTGCCTTACAAAAGAGAGTAAGGATCTTAGATGGAGGTTGTAGAAACAATTAAAGGATTGTTTGCTAAAGGAGGAAATAAGTTGGAAGCAAAAATCAAGATGCAATTGGTTGAAAGAGGGGGATAGGAATACCAAATATTTTCATGGAGTGGCAAATGGAAGGAGGAAAAGTTTCATCTCTAGCCTGGAAGTTGAAGGGGTTACTTTGTCCAATCACAGTGAGATGGCTGGAGCCTTTGTAAAACACTTCAGATCAATTTTCAAAAGGCCTTTAAATAATGGAGTTTGGGTCAAGGTGTTGGATTGGCATTCCTTGAGTATAGAAGATAGGGTTTGGCTGGAGAGGAGGTTTGAATTGGAAGAGGTGAGAGATTGTTTTTTCTATGGACAGACCAAAGGCTCCAGGCCTAGATGGTTTTACAACTGTTGGGAGATACTGAAAGAGGACCTTCTGCTAGTGTTTGAGGAATTTTTTAACAGAGGAGTGATTAGTCGAGGTTTGAACTCTACCTTCTTAGCCTGGGTCCCCAAGGAAAAAAGAAGCAAATCGCACGAGGGATTATAGACCAATAAGCTTAGTAAATAGCTTATACAAGATCATAACAAAGGTGTTGTCCCTTAGCATCAGGAAGGTGCTCCCTACCATTTTAGAAAATAATCAATGAACTTTTGTAAGGGGAAGGCAAATAATAGATCAAATTCTTATAGAAAATGAGTGTTGAGGACTTTAAGAGATCAAAGAAAAAGGGGGTGGTTTGTAAATTGGAGTTGGAAAAAGCGTATGATCTTGTAGACTGGTCTTTCTTGTTAGAGGTGATGAATAGTTTTGGGTTTGGAGATAGATGGTATAGGTGAGTGATGGGTTGTATTCGAACATGTCATTACTCTATCTTGGTGAACGGGGCTGTAGAGGATTTCTTTCCAGCTTTGAGAGGAATTAAACAAGGAGACCCTTTATCTCCTTTTCTATTTACCTTGGTTGCAGAAGTGTTGGGTAAGTTAATTAGTAGAGCAGATTCCAAGAACCTAATTAGGGGTTGGAGTATTGGAAGGGAGAATGCGCCTCTTTCTCATTTACAATTTGTAGAAGATACGATTCTCTTTTGTGAAGGTGGAGACTTGAATTAGATTAGGAATTTGAAACTCATTATACAATTTTTTGAGCAAATGTCAACTCTTAAAGTAAAATTGAGAAAAGTTGTATTGTAGGGGTTAATTTAGGGGAAGGGGAGATCATGGAGTGTGCTGTTATCTTGGGGTGTGCAGTGTCCAATTGGCCCTTAAGTTAACTTGGCTTGCCTTTGGGTGATAATCCTTAGAGAGAAGGATTTTGGAATCCAGTAGTGGAAAGATTTGAGAAGAGACTAGCCTCTTGGAAGAAAAATTATTTATCACTTGGAGGGAGAATCACCTTAATTAGGTCTGTCTTGGCCAACTTGCTTGTGTATTTTTTGTCGGTGTTTAAGATTTTGGCAAGGGTGGCTAGTAAGGTAGAAAAACTAATGAGGAACTTTCTTTGGGAATCAGGGGAGGAGAAAAAAGGACAATAGGGAGGGGTGGGAGGTGGTGTGTAGAAGTAAGAATGAAGGAGGTCTAGGTGTAGGGAATATAAGGAAGAGGAATTTAGCCTTATTAGGGAAATGGTTGTGGAGATTCTCTCGAGAAAAAGAAAAGTTGTGGGCTAAGATAGTGAATAGTATTCATGGACTTGCAGAAAATGGATGGGACTATGGCATTCTAGCAAGGATCACAAGGGAATCTCCTTGGGAAGCAATCCAGGCTATTCAGCCTCTCTTTCTTCCCTGGATTAGGTATGATTTGCACTCTGGCCACCTTATTTATTTTTGGGAACAGGTTTGGGTTGGGAATTCTCCTTTAAAGGATCAGTTCCCAACTTTATTTGCCATCTCTACTTTCAAGGATGAACCAATTTCTACTTTCCTTGTACCTTCTGAGTCCTCTTTGGGGTTCGGTTGGAATTTGGGACTAGGAGAAATTAGAGAGAGAGAATTGGATAGTACCTTATTACTCCTTTTCAGAGTGTTCCTAGAACTGACAAAGGTAGACAACAGAATTTGGACACTCTTTCCTTCTGGTACCTTCTCTTGTGCTTCCTTTTTTCAAGCCTTAACACAACCGGTTGTTCCCTTTGGTCTGTCCTTTCCTGTTAAGGAGGTGTGGTCTCAACCTATTCCTCCGAAGGTGGGAAGTTTCTGTTGGGAAGCCTTACTGGAAAGAGTTAACACAGAAGATCTTCTTAAAAAATAAAGGCCCGATTGATGTCTTTCTCCTCATTGTTGTGTCCTCTATAAAGCCGCTGGTGAGTCTGGGTTTTCACTTACTAATTTCTTATCAATTTGCAAACTATATTTAGGAATGGTTTACTTCTTTATTTAGGGCCGCAGTGTGTTGGTCTATTTGGGAAGAAAGAAACTTGAGAATGTTCTCAAAAAATGAAAGAAGTACAGAAGCAGTGATAGAAGTGATTCATGCAAGGGTAGTTCATTGGCTGAAAACAGTGAACTTATTTATGGACTTCTCAGTTGATGATTTGTCTAGGAATTGGAAGGAAATTGCAAATTCAGCCCCAGCCAAGAGGGTCTCAAATTCTGTTTGGACCCCTCCACCTATTGGCTTTACCAAACTGAACTTTGATGGCAGCAACATGGGCACTCCTGGGCCCTCCGGAATAGGGGGAATCTTGAGGGATGAAAGAGCTAGGGATTGTGATGGTTATGTTTTCTGGCCCAATTGGAATACGGGACCCATTGAGGGATGAGATTTTAGCAGCTCTGAAAGGGATTCAAAGGGCTAAGGACTTGAACATAAACAAGCTGATCTTAGGAGACTTTGAAACTGTAGTGAATTGATTAAAAGAAGAAAATTCAAGACTATGGAGCTACAGCAATGAAAAGAGGAAATACAACTGGCTGACAAAAGATATGGAAGTTCGATGCACTTGGATAAAGAGAAGTGCAAACTCCTTTGCACATGGGTTAGCTAGACAAGGGGTGAATAGGAACTCTGTTTTTTTGGGCTCAACTATAAATTTTTTCTGTATTTTTGGCTTTAGTGGCATTTGTAAGGGGTTAAGTTACTTTAGCTCCAGTTGAATGTTTTTTATCACTTAATCAATTAATGAAATCTTTGTTATTGATAAAAAAAAGTATCCTCTTGAATTGTGATAAATTCTTCCATCTATTATTATTCTCAAGTCTCAACTGGATAAATTTATAAAAATTTATTATTTTTAGCTTATTTTGATTTAAGACAGGTTTATTGTAATTTTCTCAACGTTTTTGGTGAACTGTTTAACTGGATGGTTGGACGTTTGATTTAATGATTTAGTTACTATCAAGTCTAGAAGTCTAGAACTGGCTTCCCGAGTATTTCGACCAGGGAAAAAATTCACGCATTTTTACGTTGAAAATTGAAACAAACAGAGCCCAAAGGGTAACGTTAGGGAAAAACTGTCTGTGCCGATGTATGGTCTTTGGTGCAAGTCACAATAAAGGTTGGCTATTAGGAAAAACAGCCTGCGCTGTTTCTAAATTTCTGTGTGCCTGAACATGAAACGTTAGCATGGGTCGGGTCGGGAGTAAAAGAACAATTGCAATGAACTTGTAGGAAGTGTTCTCGTTTTGTCATCATGATGTGATAGTTTTATTGAACAAATAAATTTCTATTTGTTAACACTTGAAGACTTCCTACATTTTCTGTTGCAGGATCAATACCATCATACCACGCATATGGAATGATATTGTCAGCTGGACCCGTTTGTGAGAGATTTGAAAAACCTTAAATGCCAAAATACACATACATGAGCCAAGAAATCAACTTTCCTGTGAAACTATTTCTGGTAACTTTCTTGAAGGGTTTTAGTGCAATTCAATCAACGCTGAAGCCCTTCCAAACAAGTCTTAAATATATAGTCATTGCACCGGTATTTACCAATGTGTACTGAGACACTTGTCACATATTTGGTGGAAGTGCAGAAAATATGCAGAAAAGAATTAACACAGGTCCACATATTCGAATTGGAATTTTGTGGCTGGGCAATAGTGGTGAATGATCCAAATATTGGTCAGGTGGTGAATAAGGGGATTAACATTTAGAAAACAACCTAATCACTTTTCTCAAGGTGATAAGCTAATGATTCAACCATTTGGATCAAATGGGTTAATATGTGATTTCAAAAATCAAATAATAGAAATATAAAAATGTAATAGACATCCAAAATTTGTTTAAAGAATTGGACATGTCTCTTTCATGTTTTATTATTTTATAATAATAAATGCAATAACTGAGAATTATTATCATTAAAGATGAAAATGGATAGAATTACAAAGAAAAAACAACTTTAACATCTAACCTATAATCTGCTCACCGGATTGAATGGTTTGACAGTTTAATTCGTAGGGGATTGGATCATTGACTCGGTCAACAATTGTTTTCTCTAAATAAATAGTTAAGTGGCAAGTGGCTAATGGATACAAAGTCATGGCCAATAGGCCGGGTGATAGGTCAACAATGTGTCAAAAAGATTCATGCACTGTACTAGGTTTTTGGAGCCTCCGGATGAGTTGGAGAAAGATGGAGCCAGTGTGTTCACTCATGATGGTTAGTCCAGCCCGGTGTATGCAATCTTGTCTCCACCCAGGCTCGTTTTTGGAACAGTAGGCATTTATTTATATAAAATGCTTCACACCAACACCAAGTAAGCATGGTTGTTTTACCCACGGTTTTCAAAACCGGACTGGACCAGACGATTGGACCAAAAAAACCGGGAACCGGTTAGGTGACCGGTTTGATTTTTTCCAGAAAACTGGATTTTTCCTAAAAATTATTGATTTTGGTCAGCAAACGGCTGATCCAGGCAGTTAACTGTTCAAATGGTTTTGATTGTTTTTTTATTTTTTTGTCAGAACAGGCCGATCATTCAATTCGAATGGTTGGACCGTTTGACTCGAGAATCGGACCCATAACCGGTTTGTTCTTCAGGTCGGTTTTAAAAACCTTGGTTTTACCATTTTTTTCTGTTTGGTTGGAGTGTTTACCTTGGTTTTTATGAAAACTAACATTGCAAGAACATTATTTGGGTCCTTTAATAATACCACCATTTTTTACCTTTTTGTCTACACGATGCCTAATTGACTTGAATAAATAATTAAAAAATGCACACTATCACTTTTAACGATTTTCAAAACATAAATGTTTGACGAAAGAACATCCACAATATCAAACACCCTCGTGGTTCTTATTCTTCTAATCCAAGACTCTTTAAAAAAGTATTGGAATTTATCTAAGGCCATGTTTAATGATTAAGTGGTTGTTAAAAGTATTTATTTTAACAATTACTTAAGGTTGTTTGGTAACACACTTGCCAAATCACTTATTATGTTTTCAATCACTTATTGAGGTGGGGATGTTTGGTAAAGCTATTTTCCCCATAAGTGCTTATATTGACACAAATAACAATTTTAGCCTTCATTTCACCGAGAATAATAACTTCACAAAATAGAAGAAAGTGGAAAAATGATAGGTCTGCCAACCATTTTTCTTCACCATCGATCGATGCCGGTGGACCTATAACTAGGTGCGTCGCCACCTGGTTCGAATGAGAGGAGATGGAGGTATAACCCTCGTGCGGGGGTATTTTAGGTATTATAAGAAAATACTAAGGATTGGTTTGTCCCATTTTATTGGAAAAGTACTTCAAAAAGTGTTGAAAAAAAACCAACTTCAAGTTACCTTTTTACTCCACTTTTTTATCAAACATATAAAACCACTTAATAACAACTTAATGTATGGTCTCAGCTCTTAAAAGTACTTGTTAAGAGAAGTATTTCTTATAAGTGAAATCAAATAGGGGTTAAAAACGATGGCATGCCTTATAACCATGCTGCACTATGGTGATAATTCGGCTATCCATGTTTGACAGCATGAGCTGTCAACAAGGCTTTCTCCGTATGGCATGTTTGTTCACACGCATTGTTCAAAGTATTATTACTCTTGATATGTAATTTAAAACCTTTTATTCTTTTTGTTTGATAATTTGTTAATGGATATGATATGATATCTATTAACATTTAGAACCTTAAACTAAACTAACTCTTACTAATTAGTGTATAGATGACCTTAATGTTGTGTTTCGTTTAGTGTATAGATGACCTTAAACTAAACCTTGCATAGGTTCCCTACCTTTCCTTACCTTTTCCTTCAAACCAAACATAACCTAAAAGTTCATACTTATTCTATGATAGGCTCATTATTTTGAATTTTGTCCATATAGATTCCATGCAATAGTCAATGATTAAATTCAAAAGGAAAAAATGCAATTGCCCTTGTGGGTCAAATAATAGGAATCTCTCATCTTATTATATTTCAATATTTTCTTAATATTATAAGATGAAGCACACCGGTAACTTACCCCATGATTGACAAGGGTGATGTTCCCAATGTGTGGCTGTAGTGACTTTTAGAGCACATCTGAATTTGTTGCGCATTGGTTTCAAAATAGTTCAATCTGGGGATGCAAATAGATTGAATCTGGGTATATCCGAATCTAATCTGATAGCACGAATGGTAGATCCAACCTGACCTCACAAACACGGATTCAAATCTGAATCCATTAAGGATGTCAGATATCTGAATATGATCCAATCCGATTTAATTTTTGAAAACTTTAAAAAATATAACAGTTTATATAAAGAAAAACAAAAATGCAAGTGTTTTTTTAACCATTTTTGTCATATATATACATGTTTTTTTGTAAAAAAAAAATAAGGGTAAAAAACTTAAACATACCCTAAGTTTTCATAAATTGACTTAAACATACCCTGGATTTTTAAAAAAGACTTAAAATATACTTTATGACTCTTTTATTCTTCATTTTCTTTTAAATTTTCAAAATATACCATTTCAAACTCATGTGGGTGGTGGATAAATAGAGGTACCACGAGATGACTTAACAAAAAATCAACATCGTAATATCTATGGATATGAATCTTTGCACAGTGTATGGTTAACAAAAAGAGGGGTGCTGTATATCCTCTTTCTCACAATTAACTACGTGTATTGAAGCTTTTTTTTTTCTAAAAAAATTAACTACATCATCTTTACTCTTTAGGACGTGTTGGTGAACATCACTGATCCTACTTCCTACGACCTACCTCATTTGGATCTTTATCATATTAGTATTGTCATCCGAAGTTGAAATTGGTCCATACTTAGAAATTTCTTTAAGTTGTGTTTGGAATCGGTGTAAATCAAGACCGGTATAAAAGTTTACATCAGTTCTATTTTGTTCGTGTTTGGAATGAAAGTATAATCATGATCGACACAAAACTCCACTCCAGTTCAGTTTTGTGTACGTTTGGATGGAGTGGAGTTTTACGTTGATAATCAATGTAAAACCTATCAAATGTAAAGTTTTACATCGATTATCAATGTAAATACTACATCTATTTTATCGAGTAAAACTTTATACTCTTCATCCATTGTGTTTTTCAAAAAGCAACAGTCACTTTTACGATTCAGGCTGCATTCGGAAACAATGCAAATGAGTGTAGATCCTGTTCAGGGTAGATTTGCACTTTGGTTCACTTTTGCCTGTGTTTGGCAACATTACATTTATGCATTGACAAATGACAGACCAATGCATATTTACATTGATAACAAGATGTAAAAGTACATCAATAAAAAAGAAGTAAATTTGCATACAAGTGGGCTTTTGATAAAAAAAAAAAAAAAATATGCTTCATTGGAATTCATGTTTGCATCCATTACAACTAAAAGTCTGTTTGGTAAGAAGGTAAATTTGTCAGTGCAAAACTAACCCAATTTTACAATTTATATGAGCCGTTTTACACTCTACATATTTGCATTCACACTTATTTGCATCGTTTCCAAACGCAGCCTCAGTGTAAAACATCATCGGTTAGGAAATGTGAACCAGTTTAGTTGTCGATGGAAATTGGGACCGGTAGACTTTGAAAATTTACACTATGTTTGGTTGTCAAGGTTTAAATTCTGTGAAAATTTATAGAGAGGATGAGGGAAGCAGAAGAAGAAGAAGAAGAAGAAGAAGAAGAAAAAGGAAAGGAGGAAAGCAAAGGAAGAAAAAAAAAGAATAAAAAGGAGAAGGAGAAGAGAGAAAGAAAAAGAACCAAAGAGAGACAGATGGGAGGTGGGTTCAGATCTGCCACTGCAACCAGTTGCAGCGGCGGTGATGAAACAAAGAAAGAAAAAAAGGGGGAAGAAGAAGAAGAAGAAGAGAGAAGGAGAAGAGAGAGAGAGAGATGACGGTGTCATTGCCGCCCTGGTTTCAGATCTACCGTTGCAATTGCAGCGGCAGTGACAGAACAGAGAAAGAAAAAAGGGGGAGAAGAAGGAGAAGAGAGAGAGAGAGAGAGGAAGAAAGAGACGTTGTTGCTGCCGCTGCAACTGGTTTCATATTGTTGCAACTGGTTTCAGAGAAGGAGAAGAGCGAACCAACCGCAGCAACTGGATTCAGATCGCCTGCCGTTGCCACCTTGGGTTCTGATCTACGAAGAGAGAGATTGTAAAACTACACCGTTACTGATAATTTCGATGTATATTTTACATCGGTTATCAATGTAAAAAAAAAATCAAAAATCAGTTTTACACCGTTTTACGGCATAAAACTACACACTTTCCAAACATGTGGAAAATCAAACTGAGGTATAAAATTTATCCGATTCGATTTTCCACCCCAAGCAAACGTGGCCTAAGTGAAAATCGTTGTGGGTTAATTTTGGCGAGGAACGACACAAAGAAGTGGAAAGCACGTGGGGTTGGTTTGGGTGAGAGAAGGTAAAGTAAAAGTGGAAGAGCTGGTCAGCAGACAGTGGAGATCAGAAAGAAACACACGAAAATTTTATGATTTCTCAATCTATAAAAGGAGAGAGAAACGACTAATCAAATATAACAAACACATTCTCGAAACTTGAACCAACCCAACTCTCTCCAGAGCTTCTTTTTCTTTTGTTTTGCTAAGCTTATACTTTCCTTTGTCCTCTTTTTGTATTAACTAAACCAGCCCATTAATTCATCATCTTTCAACATTCTTCTTCTTCTTCATAATCCTATATGTATGGG